AGAGAAGGATAGGATCAAGGCATCTGGAGACGTTGATTGACATTACATTTGAATAGTTGGAGCTTATAGCTATCAGGGAAACAGGAAATGGGGAGGGAGTTCCACAGGCGAGAAGTGCGAGACATGAAGCTAAAAGGTGTACTGCAGCAGCAAGAATTCTCTCAAAAATATTTTGTTAAATAATATGGACAAGTCCAATTCTATCAATTTTTTTATTAAATCTTTACAAATTTCCAAATAATTTGTTTTATTGGTAAACTTAAATTTTTATGTGTGTGTGTGTGTGTGTGTGTGTGTGTGTGTGTGTGTGTGTGTGTATTTATACTAAACACACTTCAACATACAATCTACTATGGAGAAAGACACCTTATTCAATGTTGTATTGCCACAGCCTCCAGAATTTGGAGTCTTTCCTTGCACTGTGTCCTGAATAAATTATGGATTGCTATAATCATGGCACAAAAAAATGCAATCAGCAGACCAAGTTCAAATTATGGTTGAGGTTGTTGCATTTATTCTCACTAATACTCTTGGGAAAGTTAAGAATACATCTCTTCTCTCTGTGAGTAAACAATAGAATAGAGTTCTCTGCCCTTGGTAATGACTCAAAGACAAGGACAATACAAATATAATACCAATATGTCAAGGGCCTGTGGAATAAGGTAAGGCCCATTACTTTTCATGTCCGACAGAATGTGGAAAGGTTCAAGTTCTTTTGTGAACTGAAAAAAATGGAGAATAATACCTACATCAATGGTTCGAATTTCATCGTGGTCAATTTATCAGGAAGGTGACTTCATTATGTTATCATCCTGGGAAGGAGATCCCAGTGTGATGCAGATTTTTAAAAGTGCCTTAAAACCATATCACGGGTTGACCCAAACCTTATGAGTGAAATTGGGTGAAACTGGGAACCACAAGTGGTTGTGCTAGCACAAAGTCGCAAGTCATTGTGACTGAGGGTTTGAGTGTACTGGCCTTGTTCAGACTTGATCTTGCCAGATAACAAACTCTTTCCCAGAAACTCTAAGATCTGCCCAGTATAGCTGCAGTATAAACTATGGGGGTAGGGGCTCCGTGGGTGTTGAATATGCCTGAGCAGGATTCTGCAACAGGGATTGGCTAGATACCCTAGTAGATAGACATACTCAGATACAAGCAGCCAGCCACTAATAAATGAGAACAAGAAGAGATATTCCTATACAAGATGCTGTTTAGCAAATTGTCAGATCAGTCCAGCATAGTTTTCCAATCTTCAAATGTTAAACCAGTGTGTACTTTCTCCGATTCATGAACTAATGAACCTGAATTCTCGCTGTGTCCACAATGGTGACAAATATCACAATAGAATAGCCTAGAGGATAAAAGTGTGTGTGAGAATTGGTCAGAATCACACACACACACACACACACACACAAAAGACACAAGCTTGATGTTGCTTAACTTTAGTGATCATATGAGAAACATTGTTTCAACTTGATATGACTATAAGCTGATTATACCACACGCGCGTTCAATCTTACAGCACCTGGTATTCCCAAGTGGTCACCCATCTAGGTGATCGTATGGGAACCATTGTTTTCAACATGATGTGGCCATAAGCCTGAGCCAACTTGTGGTATGGTGCCGATCACTGGAATCACTTCCAGGCTGATAGCATCAAGAAGTTACCTTCCGAACAAATTGTGTGAATTGGTCAGAGGCACACACAAAAAAAAAAAAACTATATACAAGTCCAAACTATATACAAGTCCAATTCGTTACTCAATTTCAGGTATGCAACTCCTCATCAGAAACATGACTCATTTGAATGAGCATACCATGCTTTTATGCACCTGACCCAGCCATTGCTCAGCCAATGAGTGTACTAGTGAGCTGAGTCATTCTATAGTTCACCAATAGAAGGGTTAACCAATCAGAAGCTCAAAATACTCAATGCGACTTGTATAAAGGCAGCCATTTTGTTTTTTCCCCTAAAATATCTCCACTGTCAACCTGATATCGAAGACTTAAAGAATTACTTAACAGCCACTACTTTCTCCAAATCTACATTGCCAACCTCTGATATTGAAGAGATTACAGACTTCACTGGATTCAGAGACTACGGCAAACATGGTCAACAATGAGTGCCTTGAACCAGCCAATAAAAATGGTTATGAGTGACACCACCACTTCTGGCCACAAGAAGTACTGCCCAATTCACCTTCAGTCCAAAGCTCACCAATTCGCTGTCTCCACACTCCATTACAAGTCATGTGACACTGGGCCTTTTGGGTTGCTGAGGTAAGTCTCCGCAACAAAGTGTTGCTTTGAATATTTGTTAACAGAGTAATTGTGAGTTCAATCCCTGGGCTAGGCAGCGGGTAATTGAATTCAGTGGAAACACAGCAAGTAATAATTGAGCTGTATTAAATAAGAACAAAATAAGACACCTGAGACAGGGTGAGCAGAACGAGAACAATTTACTCCCATAGATTAAATAAAGGGTCCAGTTTCAAATTTCTTGAATGTTATCCAGATCAACAAGCAACTGATGAAGGCCAGAGGACACAATGCCTGAAACATTGTGATAATAACAACAAAGATAAGGAGAATAATTGAAGTGTAAACAATGGTAACTGATAAGTCTCTCACCAACAAACTGGACCAACGATTTTCTTTTGCAGCTGATAGAACAAATTGTGAATTCTGCAAGCGTTATCCTGTTCAATGCTAATGTCTATTTTACAGTTGTTGGTTTCTGTCTTGTAAAATGTGTGCTAAAAATGGCACCTCCACAAATTTATAGAAATATCAGATGTATGCTGGGATTTCTTCCTAGCCAATAAAAATGGATAATTCTTGGTCTTATGCACACAGATGCATGCTGGGATTTCTTCCTAGCCAATAAAAATGGATAATTCTCGGTCTTATGCACACAGATGCATGCTGGGATTTCTTCCTAGCCAATAAAAATGGATAATTCTCGGTCTTATGCACACAGATGCATGCTGGGATTTCTTCCTAGCCAATAAAAATGGATAATTCTCAGCCTTATGCACACAGATGCATGCTGGGATTTCTTCCTAGCCAATAAAAATGGATAATTCTCAGTTTTACGCTCATATAGTCTGCACTCAGTACGACTTCTAGTCAGACAATTCCACTGAACTGAATTAGCAACATGAATCTTTTTTGTTCAATTTCTCTTCCAGTTTCCTCCCTCATTTGATTTTGTTTCCATGTTTCTTTTCCATTTTGTCTACACCCTGAATGATACCATTCATTGCTTCCAAGGTCACCTCTCACCAAATGATATGCTGGCACTATGACTGATTGGTGTAATCATATTCTTTATGTAAAGAAAAAGTCTTGGTTCGAATTTGCCTTGTTTATGTTTTAAGATGCTATGAACAAATCTAAGTTTAAACATTTGGTTCAATTAAAGCAGGAAAAATGTACCAAACAACTTTGTATCTGTCTATATTGCTGAGATGAGGTATTAAGATTACTTGCATTATTCAGACTGTTATCTTCATCTTCATTGCCATATTCACAACCTTTCAGCTTCGATTGGAATTTCAAACTGAACCCTCTATTTCATCCACCAGGGTAGATTGTTCTAGTTCCACATGCCATGCCTCTTCCGGATGTCTCAGTTATTTCCCTTTAACTCAACTCTCCAAGTTTTGGTTCACCACTGCTGTGGCCTGGTATTGAACTCACAATTCTTTGGCTCTAGCCAACGTCTTCATCCACTGGGCCATGTGTTTTGAGGATATCTGTGTATGAATTTTTGGGACTTAAACCTAATGTCCCAGCAACTATTTTTTTTACCAATGTACTCATATTGCAATTTTTATTATTAATGTTGCGAATATGGCAATGATAACAGTCCGAATAATGTAAATAACTTTGTAGTCTGGATAAATAAATATGAACATCTATCTGACAATGTAAGTATTAAATTTTTAATTCTTTTTTTCTGTAGGGACAGGAAATATTAGCATCAACTCACACATTCCCCTCCAAATCTGGTTATGGGAGTTCAACCAAACATTATCAACACTATATTAACTCAAATACGCTTATGACCACATCATGTTGAAACACCGGATTTCATATGAAGTTAGCGTCCTGGGTAAGACGATAAACTACGTCCAACATCAAGGCCTCTGATCAGGAGGTTTTGAGGAGTGTGGAACCACCTCTTCATTGCTGATGTTCCCAGGTCCACCCTGACCTGGGTGGTAGCACCTGTTAGGGTCCCAGCTATGGGAGAATAGTTAACCCCTAAACTGGTGTAAAAACACTATAAAAGTGTAAAAATAGCTTTTAATACCAGAAATACTTTGTAAAAAACATTATTACCAGCAATAAATTTTTGAAGTAAAAAAACTACTACCAGAAATAGATTTTTGAAAAAATATTACCAACAATGTTTTTTAAAAATAAATATTATCAGCAATACATTTTTGAAAAAAAATATTACCAGCAATACATTTTTGAAGGAAAAATATTACCAGAAATAGTTTTTTGACAAAACAAAATATTACCAGCAATAAAAATTTTGTTGGCATTAAATAACCCATTGAAGTTGATATGCCTTAAAACAAACCAAACCAAACCAAACCATATGAAGTTAAGCAACGTACCCAGAACCAACCTGTGGTTTTATACTTCAACTATGCTGAGCAGACCTTAGTTACAGTTTCTGGGATAGAGTACATAATCTGACATGATCTCCAGTTTGAACAAGATAAGTAGGCCTCACACCCTCAGTCATGATGACTTGCGGTTTTGTGTTAGCACAGCCATTGACAGCTTCCTCTACTTGATTTCACTCTCAAATCAACCTATAGGATGATTTTCAGGCACTATTCAACAGTGGATCATCTCCCCAGGTTAATATTATCCAGAAATCATATGACCATTATATAGCAGTCAATGTGCTATGAAATCCATATTCTAAAACAGAACCTTGCAGATGGTATTAAAGACTTGAAAATGCTTACATGTAGGACCATATCATGTTGAAATGGCGGTTCTCTTATGATCACTGAAGTTAAGCAACATTGAGTCTAGTCAGTACCTAGATGAGTAACCACTTGGAAATACCAAGTGTTGTAGGCTTAGATGTGCAGGTGGTGTAATGGATAATGGCTCAGAAATGTTAATCAAAGATTACATGCAAATACCTTTGGGAAAGGCATGAATCCACCTGTTCCTTCAAGCTATGGGTTAACTAGTAAGATTTGTATCACTAAATCATTGTCAGTTATGTGCCATGCGGAATACATGCTTAGGCAATCATGTATCTTTCAATACATGACTGACGAGGCAGAATTTTTCCCGCAGTAGATTGCCATTTCTTTCTGCAGTAGACCAGTGGCCATCAAAGGCTATAGAATCCAGCTTGTCCTGCTATTTACCCATAGCTGGGGGGGGGAGAAGAAGAGGATGCCTACCTTTCCCAAGCGTATTAGCAAGTAAGTGAATGTAATGGATTCGACTGGAATTCGAACTCGGCTCTCCGATTCCTCAATCCGAGCCTCTATCCATTACTCCACCATGAATCCTAAATTATTACTATCTCCATATTGATTGTAATGTGTAATTGATCCCCCACTTTATATAAACATTTTTTTTGTTTGTTTATCAAATACCGATTAAGTATGACTCCACCTCTTCTCCCCCCAGCTATAGGTTAATTAGCAAATCATTGTTATTTCCCCACCCCAAATTCTTACAGCCTAAAAGTATGGCTTTAAATGACCTGCAAAAGATTGATAAGCCATAGAAAATGCAATCAGTCAATAAAATACTGATTAGCTACACAGGCTAATTTAGATATATTTACATTTTCTGGAATATAAATAAATAGCTAGCATGACCACAAAGTGAAGGATCAGTTTATATACTGATTGTAATATAAAATTGACCCCCCACTTTATATACACATTTTCTTGTTCGTTTATGAAATACGGATTAGGTACGAATCCACCTCTTCCCCCAGCTATGGGTTAATTAGTAAGACTTGTATCATTAAAGCATTTTTATCTCAAAAAAAAAAAAAAAAAAAAAAAATTCCTACAATCTAAAAAAATATTTTCTGGCTTTAAATAACCTGTAAAGGGTTGATAAGCTGTAGAAAATTAATTGATCAATGAAATACTGATAAGCTACACAGGCCTGTCTTTTAGATTTATTTACATTCTCTGTAATATAAATGTATAGAAACTACCCTAAACACAAAGTGAGGGATCAGTTTTTATATTTATTGAAATTTAAAATTGATCCCCCACTTTATACCCACGTTATAATCTATTGTAGGCATGTCTTTTAGATTTATTTACATTCTGTGGAATATAAATGTACAGAAACTATCGTGGCCATAAAGTGAGGGATAAGTTTACACATTGATTGTAATATAAAATTGAACCCCCACTTTATAGCCACGTCATAATTTCTTGTTTGTTTATCAAATTCTGACTAGGTATGAATCCACTTCCCCCCCACCCCAGCAATAGGTTAGTAAAACTAGTATCACTACAGCATTATTTTTAAAAAAAATGTTACAATCTAAAAATATTTTCTGGCTTTAAATAACCTGCAAAGGGTCGGTAAGCCATAAAAAATGATTAAATCAATCAATGAAAAAGTGAATAGATTGAAAAGAGCATTTTGAGAAAATAAAACACTCTTATACTATAGCATAATGTAAAGATCAACTGTAAATAAAAAAACGCGACCCTTGCTCAAATTTTCCATTGGCCACCCAGTGATTACTCCAAATTATTTTTCAATCCTCAATCCTGTCAGTGTCCACCAAAAGCTGCCAAAGTACATGCCACATGCCCACATTTTTATAGCAAAATTACCCGCAATATATTTCGTCATCTACAAACTATATCTAAAAAAATTGTCCTGAATGTATAAAAGTATGCACAAAATATTTGTAGTTGAAGCTATAAAATTGTGTACAAAAATATTTATTTTGGCATTAAAAAACCCATAGAGGTGTTGATATGCCACTAAACAAAAACAACCAACTAGATGTTTTTTCTGTCAAACCAATGTAATATTAGTCTTGGAAGACTTCCATTGCCATATATACTATGTGGTCTGTCAAGCACTTTCTATAACATGTAATTAAATAATTATGATACAAACAAACACTTCACTTCCAAGTTAATCTCACCTGATTATTCTAATGCTTGAATACAAGATAATGGGTCTGTCATTTACTGACTACAGGTCAAACGATTAAATACACGAGGAATTTCCATTTTTAAATGTACTCAACAGACAAGCTGAATACCTGTCCTAAGAACAGAGAAAATTTCTGTCTGAATTTCTGGGATGAAGAGTCATCATTATTTACATTCAGGCTAATATCTTCATCTTTGTTGTTATTATCAACTGATCGCCTTCCATATGAATTTCTGGGATGAGGAGTTATTTACATTGTTTATATTTAGTCATATATATATATATATATATATATATATATATATATAGAGAGAGAGAGAGAGAGAGAGATAGATAGTGACTGAGATTGAGAGAGATAGAGAGAGAGACTGAGATAGAGAGAGAGACTGAGATTGAGAGAGAGAGAGAGATAGAGAGAGAGTGAGAGGGAGATAGAGAGAGAGTGAGAGGGAGATAGAGAGAGAGTGAGAAAGAGAGAGAGAGTGAGAAAGAGAGAGAGAGTGAGAAAGAGAGAGAGAGTGAGAAAGAGAGAGATAGTGAGTGAGTGAGTGAGAGAGAGAAAGACTGAGTGAGAGAGAGAGAGAGAGAGAGAAAGAGTGAGTGAGAGAGAGAGCTGTGTATCTGGGCGACTATCCTTCTTTAAGATATTTTTCACTGAACAAGATAAACTCGGTATTTTGCATGCATACAAGTGTCTTCTTTTCTGTACTTAATGAACTTGTGTTTGATGATTTATTCTCCACCCTCCAGCCTCTTTCTCATAGGTGGGGTGTGCAAAGCCTCACGCTGCTCTGTCACTACTTCTACGGAAATTGCTCAGACAAGTTACATTCCCTGAATCCACCAGTTCAAACCTTCAGGGCAAGGACCCGTCATGCCACTTAGCAAACTGCCCACATTCCCTCCATATTTCATCAGTCAGAAATAAGTTCCACTTAACTGCTTTTTCAGACTAACCACTGCTCTGTGGAACTGACTCCCAAACAGATGATTCCCCAGTCGCTAAAATCTTAACCTGTTCAAGGCCAGGGTTAACTGTTACCTTTCACTACTATCCACACAAGTGGCCTCTTAATATAGCCCTCTACCTTGAGTGGCTCCTGGGACTTGTACAGGGTGAACCTTAAAAAAAAAAAAAAAAAAAAAAAAAAAAAATTCAGTAGACAGTATGTTGTGGTCATGTTCATATTTAATATTACGAAGGGTAGTGGGAAGTTTTCTAAAGTGTGACACAGAAATCCGAAGATAACCAAAGATGCATTCCAAAAGCTAAGCAAAGTACTTAGAGATAAAAAAAAAAACTTTGTTAGAAACAAATAAAAGAGCACTGAACTGTTATGTGATTGCAGGGGATGCTGGACAATCTCCTCAAAGATGAAGAGACTTGAAGCAACAGAAATGTGGTTCTACAAAAGGATACTGAGGCTTGAACATTGGGCAACAATGAGATTTTAGAGAAATTGGAAACAAATGGGAAACTTATATTTAACATCAGGAAGAGAGAGTTGAAATTTCTGGGCCACTGCATTTAAAGTTTTGACTGGAAAGGAAAAATCTGAAAGAGTTGCACAAACAAGAAGTGTGAGAGAAGGAACTGCTATTATAGAACTTACAGTTACATCTAGCCATGTATACTGTAAAATGACGAGACGTAGCCACCAATCTAGGACTGCACTTCATAAAGTATTTACAGAAAAGGCACAGGAAAGCCATATCACAGCATTTAATGTACTTACCACATTTTTTTTTCTTGACAAGTTGTATATCAAGGTTTGTACATTTTTATGCCGGTTTAAATGAGCACACAATCAAATATATATATAATATATAATATATATATATATATATATATATATATATATATAATGAATAGCAGCTTGGATTAGGGAATCGTAGAGCCAAGTTCAAATTCCAGTCGAATCCATTACATTCACTTACGTGCTAATACCCTTGGGAAAGGTGTGAATCCTCTTCTTCTCCCTCCAGCTATAGGTAAATAGCAGAATAGACTGGGTTCTATAGCCTTGGATGGCAACTGGTCTAGCAAAAGGACAACTCTGAATTCAAAACCTGTAGAGGGTCGTTTGGGGACCTTGTGGCACATAGTGCACCAGGTGTCTGTATTCAGCCCTTTAAAAAGTGTGGATGGTCCTGTAAGAAACCTTCACCACTATAATCAAATCTCGTGCTGTTGTCAGGCTGTCGGCTTCCTAGAAACTCATCTGCTTGACCCTAATATGTCGAATTCGACGGGAGAGAGTTGAGTATACATATATAAGTGAACATTGAAGTCAACACTTAGAGGTGACAAACTGTTTTATATATATATATATATATATATATATATATATATATATATATATATAAAATTTGTGGTCTCATCCAGGGAAAAGAAACTTACCCATGGAAATAAATTATAACCATGGACTCTTAAAGTTGTCTGTTTTCATTAAATTAAATATATATATATATATATATATATATATATATATATATATATATATATATATATATAACATGCATGTAGCAGTTAACTACATTGAAATTAGATGCTAGAATCCAAGATAGATAGTCAAGACTGATAACATTGCAGATTCTTCTTTTTTGTTATGGGCGTGGCAAAAATGCCTCTCACATATACCTCTCAGAAATACTTCCCACATGATTGTAAGCCACCATTGCTAGTACATTTAAATTTTTGAAGTTCAAAGTTGACTGGAAAGCAAGAGGCTGGAAGAGAGTTTCACAAACAAGAAGTGTAAGAGAAGAAACTGTTAACATAGAACTTACGGTTCTAGTCAATTCAACTGTAAATTGACAAGACCAAGATACCAATCTAGTACTGCACTTAAATTCATGAAGTTGGGTGGGATGTATTTCTGCCGCACCCTGTATTTTATCAAGAATCTCTAAACACAT